AATCTAACATTTTCAAATTTGTTTTTTTTTTCCCAAAATGTGTGTCTTTTAATGCTTAGTCCATTGGTATAATAATGAAAACTTACCTATCAGACTTACTTCAATAGTTTTTGTTCATAAACCTTGAAAAATGGCATTTTCATGGAATTAATCCGAAATGTGTTCAAAAATAAACATTTTATTTATTATTATTATTTGTAGTTATTTTGATAACAAAGTTTTTTTTATTGAAGTCAGAATAAGTCTATTTTGCTTAGTTTTAGAATTATAAACATTCAAATGAGTTTGTTTACTGTGCTTACTCGGAAAATTTTAATTGAAAATAATTCTTGAAAGTGACCATATTGAGTCTCTAATTTCACTTGTATTGCTTTTCACTTTACCTTGTTACCTACCCGATGTGGCTTTGCTCAACAAATCAATGGTAATTTTCGATTAAAATTGTCAGAGTTAATTCTGCAGCAAACATGACTTATTTGAACTTCAAAACTAAGTGTCTAAGCCGGGTAGACTACGATTCTAACTTCAATTATAAAACTTTGTCTTCAACATATCAATAACTACAAATAATAATGATTAAAAAAATGTGTATTTTGGATCAATTTCAAAAATGATTTTTTTTAAAGTTTACGTACAAAAACTATAAACATAAGTATGATTAGGTTTTGATTATACCAACGGATTAAGCATTTAAAAAGACTTACATACTAAGCACTTGGTTGCAGCCACTGTTGTAGGTGAGAAGTTGGAAAGGTAGTAGAGGAAAAATATATTGTATACCTATGTGTAAGGGGAATGCTTTAAAATATTGGAAAATAAATGAATTGAAAAATATTTGAGCCTGACCGTTTTTAAGCAGAAAAATATTTCTGCCGAAGAGTATTTTATTTGAAAATATTACAGCCGACCTTTTCAAAGAGATAAGTTCTGATCTTCCACAAAATGATAACGTGTGTTAAAAAATTAATAATAGGAAGACAAATTTTGCACTTATTATTTTAAAATGAAAAACATTGCCATTAGGTTCTTATCTTTATTGCAAATTACAGTTAGTTGGGCCATTTGGTTGCAACTTGCATATGTCGAGTTTGAAGTGATTTACTATACTTGTATGTTGTGATGTATAATGTACTACATTTTAGATTCTCAGTAAATCGAGAAATTTATTTGTTTAACAAAGGTTTTTTTTTTCTGTGAACAACTTTTCTTTTAAAGATTTTAATCCAATTTCCAAGTGTAGCACTTTTTCCGGAGTGGTACTTTACGGAGGTTATTTTTGTTTTTCTTAGCAGTTTTAATCATAAAATGGAAAGAAAAAAAAACAGGGAATATACAAATAGTTGTGTGCTTAATATTAAAATAAAAAGTAATTAATTTGTATTCATGTTACTCATTATAATAATTAATTTTGTATATTTAAAAATAAATAAATAATACAATTGTTTTTTTGAGTCATAAATTAATTATAATTAAATTATTATAAAATAATTAAATATACAATTTTACTTCTCCATCGTAGCATTTTGAAGATTATTAACTAAAAAAAAAAACTAGGCATAATTTAAAACATTCAAATTGTTGATTTTATAGCTATACCCTTCATGTTCCATTTAAATTTTAATATTTAATATTAATGTAGTTAATGCCTTACATTTATTGATATACAGTGAAGTAAAAAAGAGGTTAATTTGATAGCACACTAGATAGGTATGAGTCACAATAATATTATCTTAGTGAATAATATAAATTTGAATGTTTCAAATAATAAAAATACTGGAGAAAAACCGAAATAGGTTATTTTGTAATTTTGTTTCAATAGATTTCCTGTATTATAGACAAACTACTTCTAAGTGATATTATTGATGGAATAGTCGAAACGATTGATTTGATTAGTTTTAGAATCGCATTTATTCTGTCCTATTTAAGCATATAGACAAGATTATATTTAACAAAAAGATAATTTATGAAAAGTAATCATTTAGAAATGTGTCCTTCAGTCGGTCAATTTGAATTTCATGTGGCGTGTGGACTAAAAATACTAACTAAAAGAATTCTAATTCTTTTAATGTTTTTAAATATACAGAAAACTGACTCAAAGTTTTCCAGTTTTTAAAAAATACATTATTTTTTAGTACAATACTGCAATCAATTTAATTAATTTTTGACTATTACATTTGTGCCCTAATAATAATATTATTGAAATGTTGGACACCAGTGTTTGTTAAACTTACATAAATATCTTATATTTTGCATAAAAAAAACTAAATTTATTTTAAAAAACCATATAATATGGGGTTGGAAAAAAAAGCAATATATTTATTTTACATGTTATATAGTACCATAAAATAGGTACCTACATCATATTTTAATACAATTTTTGTGATAATGTTTAAAATATTGTGATTGAAATATAATATAGTCAATGGTATTCAAATATGGTGTAAATACCTGTTATATGGTACTATATAATATGAAGTACTAATTAATATTATTACTTTTTATTTTAAAATACGTGAAATAAAAATATTTGTTTCTCGGTTGTGACGAATGACAATCGTCCAGGAGTATTTGATTACGAGAAGCGGGGGGTAGATGTAAAATTGTTTATTGTTTACTGTTAACATAACCATGGTCCCGGTAGTAGATAAAACACAGTGATATGAAATATATCGCCATTTTATACAAATCGTCATTTTTTTGTTTTCACTTTTCATTTATACTTACTGCATTCTACTGAGGTATTTAACTCTGATATTCATCTATTTACTCGCCCATGCGAATTTGTCTATTGTTTTACTTTCATAATATGTATATTGCTGAGTCGAGATGAGAACGATACCTAGTGAAGTCAGAATTGAACGGATTGACCTAGTTTCGAAGTTATAGTCTTTATAAGTTTGGATGTTATGTTAAATAATTTAATATTGCTTTTTACATGTATTGTTTATTATAGTTTGTTGGTGATGCGTACTTAGTATCATTCATAAGGTCTCGAGTTCGAACCTCGTTTCTTAAATTTGTATAATAACATGTATTGATTACAGTGAGATCATTAGTTGATTGTTTGTTATTGGCTTTACTGTTATTTCTACAATTAAAACTAATATACGCGTTATAAATCTTGTTAAGCGCATTTGTAGTTCATGGAACACACTATTTTTTGAGGTACTGCGATAAACATATTAAAATATTGACGAATGTTGACTCACTTAATATAACACACATACTATCCAAGATTCTAAGTCAAGTAACTAAGTCAGTCCGCTCAATTTCGACTTCATCATTGTTTTAACTGCAATATACATATTATATTGTGTGTTTTTGTACCTATGTAATAACACAAAACGTTTTTTTCTTTTTTCTCTATTTTTAATTGTACATAAACTTTTGTCTTTTTCAGATAGTTGTAATTTTGATGATACATTTCTGTGTTTTAAACTCCCTGCCTTCACCGCAAGCTCCAGTTTAAAGAAGGTAGATAATTTATGTAATTTGTGTGTTTTGTTAAATTTGTTATTTTTGATTTAATAAATTAATAAATAAAAAAAAAAAAAAAATAGACATATTAACTTAAACAAGAATTGTTTAATTTTCATGGACCAGTGACTAGATTTGTTCGAATAGATTATTGCACTGGACTTCAGAGTACATTATATTATATATAGGTGATTTTCAGTAAGTAGTAAAAACGCAGTCTGACTGTCTGAGTAGAACTCGTTTAATTTTGGTTTAACAGTAAAAATACATATTTTGTAATTAAAATATGTAAATATTTCAGAATGCAAGATTGTGCGTTTTTTTAAAAAAATAATTTTTTGAAATGTTATAGGTCATATAAAAATATTGAAATGGTCGTCATTTCGAATAACTATTGGTTAATATTTATTGAAAAACCTTTCTTTTTGTTTTCTTTTGCCTGTAATTATACTTAGTGCTTGTTACTACCTCGCTATTTGGACACAAAACTTATATTTGCCTTTTCTAGACACCGTACAATTTTCAAAACATTTGAGCGATATTTGAAATATCTATGGAAATTAAAATTTGTTGTTAAAATTCAGTTAAAAATATTTCTATGGACTTTACGGATTTGAAATTTATACACAAAACTTATATTGGTATAATTCTAGTTTATCCCCCATGTGATATTTTGGGTTTTTTTTTTTTCAAAATGTGTGTTTTGGTTCTATATTATGAATGTAAAAAAATAAATCTGATGAAGTTCATGTAGAATTTATGGTACTATATAATATGATATACTAATAAATATTATTTCTTGTTATATTAAAATATGTAATATAAAAATATTGCTTTTTTTTCTTTCTTAATATCCATATATTATATGAACCATACACAAGTGTAATATTTCAATAGACAAATGCATTAGTAACAAGAGTATACAAATATAGTTGTATACAAAGACTATTTTAAAATGATCAATTATTATTAACAATTTATCCAAATGATCTTTGTAAATAATTTTTAAAATGATTTCAGTAGTCTATCCTATGAGGTTTATTTGATAATATCAATTCAACTGTGTATTCAATTTTTATATGAGTATATAATTTATTATTACCACAAACATATTTAATTTAAATTTTTAAATCAACAACAGGTTATACTAATTTCGACAATAACAACAAATGTTTTTGGTAATAATTTAACCATTGTCAGCCTTTTAGTTTCATTTTTTTATATAGGTAAATAAGTACCTAGTTATTAAATTAAATTATATATATTATTAATTATAAAGTATTTATAAAGATGATAATTGAGATTATATATATAACAGAATATTTAACTTAGAATTTGAACAACAACCAGTCTTTTAATAAGCTTTATCTAATGAATTAAAAAAAAAACTTAAAATATATAAAAATTACTTCAGAGATCAAATATTATGTGCCCTCTCTGCTCTCTTGTCTTCATCAATTTCAAAATTACATCATCTACATTTACTTAAGTAATATCTTCTATTGTTCAGGGAAATTGTTTTTGAATTTTTTATGCAGTTATATGAATAGGTAATTAAAAGACATTGAGATTTACTTGCAGCAATGAGTCCTATGAGATTCATTCTTCTTGAATATTGTGGTTGATGGTAGATTTTAGATTTTCAAACTCTAATGCTACTTCACATTTATACATCAAATTCGATTTTAGTTAAAAAAACAAATTGAAAATATTAAATTCTAATTAAGAAATATGCGAAACGGAAAACCCGAAATTCATGAAGTTTTCCCCCATAACTTCAAACGAATTTCGTCAGACCTTTTTTTTTTGTATTCTCAATTTATTCGCAAAAACACATTTTGAAAAAAAAAAAAAAAACAATTAACCGTTTGAGAGTTAAACTAGAATCGTTCCCTTATATTTGTTTTTCTAAATGTGGTAAAATGTTCAAAATTGTTTAGCCGTATATGTGTTTTTTACAGGTATTATAATTTTACGAGTTTTGTGTGTATTTTTTATTGGGTAGGTACTCCGTGGATAAAATTGTTAGACACAATGAACACAAATGAAACATTTATAAATATACACATTCATTACAATCAATTTTAGTTAATTAATCATAACTAAAAAATCCGTGTATTCTCGGAACTTTATTTTGATATTTCTACATTTTTTTAAAATTATTTTTATACATCAATAGTTAAAATAACATTTAGACTAGGTTAAGCATAACCCCACTACACAATTTTTTGCCAACAATTTCCAAAATTCAAATAGCCACTAACAATTCAAGCCAGCGTATCAAACAATCATTTGATGTTTAATCATAACGCTCTAGCATATACATTATACGTATATTGTATACAACTGAAACACATTACCTTCCTTTAAAACACATAGTCAGGTAAAAAATACATTATTTCTACTTGAACTATAGCAAAATAAATAAACCGTATTGTTGTCGTGGACATTAATTCAAGTATAATATCCATTCAGTGAACATAGATGAAATAAATAGATTAACTATTAATTAAAAAACTCTAAAATTTCATCATCTTCGAAAATCTCTAATAAATCCATTATATCCACTTTAATTTTTATCAATTTACCAGTAAAATGTAACACTTTATTTTAGTAATAAATTAAAAAAACAAAAAAATAACAGACAATAATAATATCAATTACAGTTGAAAAAAATTAATCATATCATTGATAATATCTATCGAGACTATGTCTTTATTCGTTATATGAACTCTTATTGATTATTCGGCATAATAACTAATGAGTGACTTGAAAAATGAAAAGCCAACTTTCATCAATTTTTTCTTATCTGTCTTATCTGTGTATTAATTAACTTCAGATTCAGCTGTCACCTATACCGGAAAAACCTCTTATTTTATTATTATTAACCTCAATACTCGTTTTCTTCGTATTAATATCAGTAATATTATGTAATTACTATCATAATTAAAGAAGTACCAGGGGTTGTAAGGAATTTATAAAAAAAATCAGTAAATTTTCATCATGCAGTTTTTCACTTTTTAATTTGAAAATTGTTTTGTATTAGTTACTAGTTAACCGTTTTCTATTCATCAATACCGGACCGTGTCCTTTTAAAATTTGCCGTCCCTTTTAAATGATCAGCAGCACGTGCCTATAGTGCTTGCATTTAAATACGTCCCTGTAAGTGGATAATAAATATTATGTGATTTCGTACATATGTTTGTAGAATATATATATATATACATATATTTATATTATTAGATATAATATTATGCATACATTAATGTCCACTTCAAAGAAAAATATCAACCGTTTAGATAGAATTTTGTTTAGCAGATATTATTTTTTCCTAAACCAGACAATATTATGTTAGTTAAATACTGAATTTATAAACAGGTATACAATTTTAATCACGTTTCATCCGCTGTAAACGCAAAATAACTCAGGTCACTGTCGAAAATGTGCGACGAAAATCATTGCACGATTTATTGCGTCAATATAGTCGCTGTTGCGCCCGCGCGTCAATGCCGCGCTAGGTATAACACACATTCATTTAAAACAGATTTTTTTTTTTTGTGCGCCCCAGACCCAGACCGTCGCACCATCCACGAGGAAGCGACCAATGATATTACCTAGCGTCATTACCCAGGTCGCTCGACCTATATTCAATTTTTAGATTATTCTTATCGCATTCGAAATGTCAAATTAACAAAGTATTTTTCGAATATTATCATTTTCCAATACAATTTTGGATTATTTAAATTATTTTGAAAGAAATATAATCAACAATGATTACTATTTCCTATAACAAGTATAAATGCAAATTTTATTTTAAAATTAACATAGTGAGTGCGATCGCAAAATCGCACCTTAGCACGAGCCGCTACTGAATCTTAGCCTGCATGAGTCATGCAGATTAATCTAAATCTTTTTCTAGATTCGAAATCGGACAACGCACAGTAACTTTAATTTTGTCAAAACTATAAGTCTTTTGAGCTAAAATTTACGGCCGTAGAGAACCACCTTAATCACAAAATAATAATTATATAATTAGTATTAAAGAAAATTAAATTAAACTATTCAAATACCTACTTATACAAACTTTTACAGAAATAATGGGAATTTTATAATATGATAACTGATATTTAGATATTTTATATCAGTGAGCTCGATGTTTAATCCGTGCCTAAAAGCACGGTACAACCGGGTATCTTACATTAGCTAAGGGTAGCTAATTCAAGAGACCCGGAGGGTTCAGGGCAAGCCCCAGATGCGTGACAACGCATCAGAGCGCGGTCCCTCCAATCGCTACCCAATTCACTTACCGCTTGCTTACGGGTTTAGTCACCATCAGGAGGGTACCCTCTGGCTATTTAACAACTACCCAAAGAAACTCATAAGCTCGTCCGGATCCAACCACAAGGCACCGACCACGGCACGAAACCACGGTCGACACTCGGGTCTCTGTTCGGCGCCGAGAATGGATCGACGCTGGAGCTCCGAAGACCACTCGGACTACTTTTCATAAATGTCAAAAGTTGGACATATCTCGACATCCGGCCACCGACGAAGCGGATGATTAGTCCGCACCGGAGGTACTCAGATGTCTACTGACACGCGTGTGATAACAGAGGTAAGTAGGCCACCCGAGAACATCTCACGCTGTGACCCGACGGTCGGAACGCGAGAAGACCCCCGAAGGACCACGCGGAGGGGCGAGCCCGTAATCTCGATTTCTTACCGGATACAATCTCGTTGGGGTAGTACCGACAGTCGTCCGCCCAACGATAATTTGTACATATTTGCTTCACGACGCGAAGAAATCCGCGTCGCTAATAATATCTAGCGTCATGAAAAGGCCTGTACTATCTAAAAAGACCGAGAGGTAAAGCAGTCCTCTCAGCCCCTCTAGGGAACCACCGAGAACCGGCCAAAAAATTAATCCTAGACGGTTCCCCTGGCTGTGATTTCGCTAGATAAGATATTTTGTATCAGTAGGTAGTCATTCGGTCTAATTCGTTCACGAGTATGATGAACGTTTCATATGAATTGAACCGAATCCTTCAAATGACCCCTTTTGCCCATCTTCAATGACAATTGAATCCAATGATAAAGTGATACCTACTGTTCAATAAAAATGTTTCTATCTGATAAAAAAGCCCAGAATAACTTATGATTTTTCAATTATTTGTATTCACTAAAACTAATTCGTTGTACCAAGTTATTAATATACTGATTATTTATATTTATTAATTATTATTGAGCTGGAATTTTGAACGGGATCAACCAAACTAAAATTCAAGCCTACTGTAATTTACTGTTCTTTTAATTTCATTAAGTTGTTCACTACAGTCGACAGCGCAATTTCCGTGGTTCTCGTACGAAAATAAAGCTGCAAGTCACAAACTGGTCGGCGATCGTGATATTTATAGTTCCATAGTAAGTATTCACACTTGAAAAAACAATTTTACGTGTAGGCATATTTCGAATTTACATAAAGATTATAATATTAGTTAAAGGGCCTTTTTTTTTTAACTGCCTGTGATCCTTTCACGATCTACAGTTCTTAGTCTCTACTCTATACTATAATTATATTCTACTATCTACTAATAAATTATGGTGTATTCAAAGTATGTCTATTGTGGATTATCTTCAAAAAATAATGCAGATGTGTCATTTCATTGCATGAATAATAACATATTATACATATAATATATTACAATTATATAATGCATATCATAGTATCGTGACCTCACGTGCCTAAAGGTACGTTTTCCTTTGCACGATTGCGTGCCCCGATCGCGCGACTGCTGATACAATGTAAATTAAATACATTTGGTTTTCCTTACGCGATCGCGGTCGGCGATGTAAATTTGTTCGCTACGTGAACGCAAACTGACTGCTTCTTGAGAAGTCAAATAGCGTTCACACCGCGATCGACTAGTTGTTTTGAAAATTAATAATATGTAATTATAAACGGAAATTTAAATTTAAATCTAGTTATCTATAATTATTATTTTATCACTGAGCAGTGGGGATGTCCACAATAACATAACGCGTTATGTCAAATAATATGCAATAATATGATAGGTAGGTACTCATTTATGATCGACTACTACTCATTGATATCGGTCGTTCAAAGATAAACTTGAGTTTTGCAATGGCCCAAGTTGAATAAAGTCGAAGACGATTTTAAATCATTTCTTATTAGATTCAAAATTATATCAGATTGATTGCAGTTTATTTTAAACAATTCCCTGAAATTGATTTCATTATTTTTCAGGAGGCCTTTGATAAGTATTTCATGATAACCTTTGTAAATAATACTTCTCTTTGTAAATAATGGATCATGTTGTTTTTTTTCTTCTGAGAGATACTAAAGCAAAACCTCATCATCATCTTCTTCTTCTAATAAAACAATTTTCAAGATTTCTGTATCTAATAAATCCATACTAATAATTTTTTTAAGCGAGCAGTACACGTGGACTCCTGGACTTCGAAGTATTGAGTACGACTGAATGTTAATATATACTTTATATCAATTTTATTATTATATATTTATATTTCATTATGAAATATAAATTATATAAATTTCTGGATCTCAACGTAGAATCGTTTAGAATAAACCAAGACACCGTGACTTAGTTCGTCGATGCGTTTCGTTGATCGTGATCGCTTACCGCGTTCGCAATCGCGCAAGGGAAAACTTACTTTAAGCTTGTCCGTTATTATTGTTTTTTCGACTGTAGTTTTTTCGTAGAATAATATTCTATATAGTCAGGTATTGTACATATCACATAATTTATAAATTTTAAGGTTATCATATTTATTATATTCTGCATATCAACAAATTAAATTTACTTTGTTACCTAAATTTCCACTTAGGACTAGTACTGATAATGATGCTCAAATCGATAAGCTTGTAGAAATGATAACTAGCTTAAAAAAATTCAAAAAATAAAGTTTTTGCAACTTTAAATTCATTTCGTGAATCAATTAAAGCTCAGGAAAACAAATGTATATCTTAATTTATCTTCATAGGTGTATCGTTTTAACTGCACTTTTATAATAAAAAAAAAAATAGAAAATGTCCAAAATTTTAGTCATTTTCCTATTAAAATACGTACAAATAATACAATTTCTGGTCCTATATCGAGTAGGTAGTGAACCTAGTGGCAATTTTAATTGCGGTAATGTTTTCAATTTAAGCCAAGTGTTTACATCTTATAAATCTACCTTGACCCATCCATTACTTTATTATCTATGATGCTAATAGACCATAGAGTAATATAGAGAGTTTGTTCTGTATCTCGTCAATGTTCACAAATTGAGGCTCAATCAGTGTACATTTTACAGTATTGATTTTATTGATGATAAAAATACCGTATGCAAAAATTCTAAAACTGGTTATACTTTTAATACTGACTGTTTTACTTTTAATAGTTTATTATTTGAATTGTGAGTTTTATTGTCTACTATCAAATTTGGTATAGTTATTTCTATTTTCTTTTTAAAATACTCAGGAAAAATATAAAATGCCTATCTGTATGATTTGTGGAAGAACAAAAATGATGATATTTGTTGTAAGTAGGTACTTATTTGAATGATAAATTTAACAAGATTTCCAGAGCAGCACGAATACATTGAATTTTAGTTATATTTGTTACATATCATATGTATACATAAATACATAATAGTTTTTGTCAAATTGGTACTTCCATTTGGTTATTTTTTCTCTGGCGATTTTTTTTAAAATTGTTTCTTTATAAATATTCATATTGTATAATTTTTTTACTGTTCATTATTATGACTTAACCGTGTAACATGTATATGAGTATATTATTATTCCACTGATAATAAATAAAATTGATTAGGTAGAGTGTTTAATGATAAGTAGTCTGTATTAATAAAAGCATTTTAATAAATTAATTTATTAGGAATACTTAGGCCGGGGTCACACTAGCATTTTATTTTAGAAAAAACGTTCATTTAGAAACTGGACAGTTATTTTCTATTTTGTTTTTTTTTTTTTATTGTAGTTATTGTTTAAAAATATTAATAGAGAGATAAAATTATTACCGAATACTTATATTAGTATAGACGTGGTAAAATTTTCAAATTTTCATTTTTAAACTATTTTTAGGCATCTAACATTTTTTAATTATTTCAGTTTTTATGTGAATACTGAACAGAAATGTTTTTAAATTGAAATTATATCTATGGGCTATATTATAGATAATATTGAGCTCGTGTTGATAATTATGTTTATTTAATGGAATACGTTCAAGCCTATTGAATAGGTATTGAATATTAAATGATATTTTTTGAGAATAAGGGTGGTTAGAATCGTATGGTATTATATCATCAATTTGTATAGATTTCCTGTAAATACTAAAATCAAATGTATTCTTTATTATGGAAACTGTAAGATCTAAGAAATTTAGTTTATTTTTTATTTGTATTTCGAGTGTAAATTTAATGTTTTTCTTTATTTTGTTTAAGTAGTTAAATACATTTTTGACTTGTCTATTTGAACCTCTAAATGAAATAAACGTATCATCAACTTATCTATAATATGCTTCTATACACGGACTGTATATTTTGTTGTTAATAATATTATTGGTTTCATAATTTTGTATGTAAATTTCAGATAAAAGAGTACTTAGAGAACCATATATAATTAACCTATCTTTTTGCGAGTATAATTTATTGATAACATTTATTGATTGAATAATTTCTTGTACTTCGTTTGTGTTAAATTTATTACTATGTATACATTTCTTTTTTAAAAAAATTACTGTTTCCTGTTTAGGAATGGACGTATATACATTTTTGACCTCAAGAGAATCATTTTTTAATCTGGCTCAATATTAATTTTATTAATTTTTTCATTGAAATCATAAGTGTTTTTTTATAAAAATATTAGTATTCATTTTTAATTTTGTATTTTTGTAAATTTGTATTCAATTTATTACCTTTATTTAATAAATTGTTTTCAGCATTATTGAAAATTATGGAATTTAAATTAGTAACTCGTGGTCAAAAAGAAAAAATACCCAATAATCAGACGACTTTTTTCTTCTTTTTTTCTTGTTGTTTGTGGACACGTTTTTTCCTAGTAAACTTGCTCCGATTTTTACGTGTAGCAACTTTTCTTTAAGCTCAAGTTGTCTAGATTGTACTTAAGAGCTGCACTTTATGGTAAAAACTTGAACATTTTTATAATCATATTTAACATTCAAATTTAAACGAAAATCGTCAAAATCACGTTTTTTCGCATAGTATTTTTCGATTTCAAAGGTAATAGTTTTTTTTTTTTTTTTTTAATTTATCACAAAATTCATCATTCGTGGTATTTGTTGTTAAAAAAAAGATATTATTACATTTTTGATAGGTGTGTACTGTGGAGTGTTGTAGTTTAAAAGTTAGGAAAGTAATAGAAATTAAAATACATAAAGTTATTTAGTTTAGGTATATTTTTACGCAACTGTAAATCAACTTTGATGAAATACAATTCTGAACGAAGTTTGGTTAAACATGTTTTTAAATATCATGACTTTCTCCGATTTTCGTCAAAATTTGTGGTTTAAATGCTATGAAAAAAATGACCACATTGAAGTGATTTTTATTTACCGTCAAATACAGTTGTATTTGATAAACCTCGTGTTAAACTTTCAAACAATTTGCATGACCTGGCTAAAAAATTATAATCACATAAATTTAAAAAAAATATTTGAAATTTAGTACTTTTTTTGATTGTTACTTAAAGCATTAATAAATACCTACCACATTATATTCAACTTTTTTGTTACCACTAATTCTATCTTAGGATGAATGTCGTGTAAAATTTAAAACATGCCGTTAAAAATGTCTTGCAGTGTATGTCAATAAGTTACTGGAACGGCACAATTAGGATTTACCAGCAACTATATTTATATTAATAAATTATTTGCACTTTTTGAGACGATAGAGTAAAATGTTGTGAGTATACTTCTATGGGAGTAAGATACTCCCATAATACTCTTTAAGTAAGAAACTACACTTAAATGCTAAAAATATACAGTCGGCTGTTTAAATAATTTTATTGTATTCCAGAGCTGATATATGTTATCCTGTTAATTATGCAAGGCAGTAACGTATGCAGTGGGGTATTTTACAAGTTCAAACACTGTACCGAAATGTTTGATTTTTGTATGATTATTTACCTATTCCATGTCAATGTTATATTATTGTTCTAATTTTCAATAACTGATTTTCAAAAACACCCCCTAAAATGTTCTGCGTACGTCCTCTGGTACCATTTAATAATCGTTCACTATTTATAGAATGAACCCACTATTTTCGATTCACGTATTTTTTTTCGGTAATACTCTATAGCGGAGTATATAAAAATCGCGGTCTCCAAATCATCCATCTTGCACTGTAGTCTTGAGACTAGTAGATTCGAAACTTAAAGATGCGAAATTATCTACTGATGTTTTACATTTGTGTGACTAGGGTAGTTATGTCCGTTGCAACGTACGTTCTTTCAATGCTCATGTGACCCTAGCCTAAGATAGGTAGTTATAAGGCCCCAAACTTACCTTATCATCGGGGCTCCAAATCCTAGTTGCGCTTCTGGCTCTATTCAGTATGTATAATTTAAGTTCGTAGGTATTATCCATAGATAATATAAGAACGGATAGACCACACCTATATTATTATAAGGGGCCACGTACCGAAATGTGAATGAGAGACAGACTCACCAACACAGAAAGGGGTTTTATCATTAATATTATAGTTTACAATGATAACAACTTAATCAACGTATTTGTATTTGAATTTTGTTCATCAAAAAAGTTTCAAGTACTTCAATACAATATTGATTTTTGTATATTAAAACAATTTCAAGTAAATATTTCAATCAAATATGATATTATTACTATCGTATTTTTCACGAAATTATAAAGATTAAATATGATAAAAGAAAAATCGTACCAGGGCTAAATTAACGAAATTTATCCATTTTAGACATGAATAGATTCAATTGAATTGGTACCTACTATTATTATACCAAATTTCAATAAACCAGAGTTGTGATTTATATTTTTTTTTTCTAATAGCGTATTATGTAGGTAAATAATTATTAATTGAAATGATTATATATTATTATAAAACACTAATTAATAAAATGTTATGAACTAGGTATTGATTATTTTTGATCAAGTTTACAACTTTATAAGACCCCCCTTGTAACCATAAAAATGTTCGTTCTCATGTGATATATTCTTATGGTCTTATAAAGTATGATTTTATTTTAAGACCGTAGGTATCAACAAAATATTGAAATACCAAATTATCATGACTCTTGAATTAATATTTCTTCCAAAGTGGATTAATTAGGTGTAATCACTTTCACCCGCCAGCTCTATGATAAATTGATTGATTGAAAACATTACTGCAGTTAAAATTACCGCTAAATTCACTGCCTACCCGATTGACTCTATCAGATAGAAGATCAGAAATTTTATTATTTATATGTATTTTAATAGGAAAATGATTACAATTATGGAAGTTTTCTATTTTTTTTGTATTGTAAAAGTGAATTTAAAAAGATACACCTATAAAGATAAATTATGTCATATTTATTAATACATATAAATTCCTACATAATATAATAGTATAAAATAGTTATTTATGATATTATTCATGAATAATTTAATACATATGTATTTACCTAGTATACCTATGTGTTAATATACTATTGTTGAACAATTTGATATAATTATTATTAGGAGGAAGTACTCGTAATTACTTTTGGTAATAATTAATAATAATACTTTTGTTAATAATATATTTTATTATAGTCTAGAATTCTATTTTTGGTCTGGCACTTGGTTAATATATTTTCTACAGCAAAATTCATCCTAGTATTTAAATAAAATTGTATAATGTATTTTGTAAGTTCTTATTCATGATCCGTACGGCCAACTTTAGACCCAAACCTAATAACTTCAAAAATTTTATTACATAAAAATACATTAAAAAAAGGTCTTAGGATAATGGGGACGGGTGTAGCCACTGTTATAGGTAATGTATATCTGTAAGCAATCTGTAAATCATTGCTTACGAAAAAACGAAAGTGCTTACGAAAGTGGAGTTCAAATGATAGTAACGCTTTGTCAACAATAAATATGCCATATTATAGTCAAATAATTAAATAGGCTCTATATATTTTCTTTAATAATATTTGTTTAATATTGTACGCTTTCCCCAGTTTTCTTCCTTTTTTCTGGTTTTTCCATGTTTTTTCACATTTTCTGAGAAAATTCCTGAAAAAATTGAAAAATTACCTCTCTATACCTAGAATCCTATACATTATATTATTCATAAATAACTGTATTATACTATTTAATCATGCATTTATATATATATATATATATATTAATAAATATAGCATAATGTATCTTTTTAAATTTACTTTTACAATAAAAAATACAGAAAACTTTCATAATTTTAGTCATTATCCTATTTAAAGTACATACAAATAATACCATTTCTGGTCCTCTATCAGGTAGACAGCGACCCTAGCTGTAATTTTAACTGCAGTAATGTTTTCAATCAACAGACAAGCCAAGTGTTTACACCTTATTAATCCTACTTAATTTCTCCTTAGATATAATATTATATCTATCAGACGCGAACACTGGTATGTGGAGGAGAAAGTTTAACAAGGAACTGATTGAAGAAACAGGAATGACTTCAATTAAGTATTACATAAGAGGCCAGAGAATCCAGTGGTTTGGGCACATTATGCGTGGAAGTGATGATAAGATAATAAAAACAGTAATGTCTTGGAAACCAACGGGTAAGAGACCACGAGGACGCCCGAGGAAAAGATGGATAGATGTAGTCGAGGAAGATCTAAAAAGGATAGGAATAGATGATTGGAGAAACATAATCCATGATCGAGAAAAGTGGCATGGAGTTGTGATGGCGGCAAAAACTCTTGTAGAGTAGATAAGGCCAGAAGAAGAAGAAGATATAATATTATTAGGTATTTTAATTTTAATATTAAACTATGAAATGTAATTATAACGATAATAACGTTTAAATAGTTCCAAAAATGAGAGGATGGACTGCAGTAAATTAACATTTTGAATTTTCGTTTTCAGCATCTACCTATATTCAGGTTTTTCAATTTCCTAGAGACCCGAACTGACGAAATTTTAGGTTACAAAATTGTCACCGAGGCAATGCCATTTTACACTCTTTTTTAGAATTGTGTGTAGTAAGTTTATTATTTTAAACTTTAAAACATTTAATAATAATATTCACATAATATACAACCACAGTAGGCAAACTGAATTTTGTGAAGGAATTTAAAATAATCAATGATCAAAGCTATTTTAAAATTTGGATAATGTCACTAATAACTTTAATAACTTTAATCTAACAACCATCCCCTCCCACCAAAAAAAAAGACATTTTTGTTATTTATTATAGTATCAAATACTTATTTTAAGTTATTAAATTATTAAATTCCTGATTTGTGTGTATTTAGTAGTTTATTAATGGTACTCCACACACATATCTACTGTATCAGTCTTACAAGCGCACATTTGCAAATTTGTGCTCAGTAGTTTCAAAAACTATTGTATTGTTGTAAATGTTTATTATTATTATTATTTTGTTATTATTATTATTATTATTTTGTTATTATTATTTTTTTTTATTTATTATATTATTATTATTATTATATTATTTAGATTGTGAATGTAGCAGTAGTGTTTTTGTAAAAAAAATTGTCTCTGTTACCATATTCTGTAGTGAATTTAGTGAACAATTAATTTGAACATTATTTTTTTAATTAAAATTGGTTATTATTTTGTATTTTAGCTGTTGGAAAGTAATGTAACTGACTAATTACATTACTTGTCATTGAGCATGTTAGTGGCTTGAGTGAGAAATTTTATTCACTGGATTCTATTTCAATTTGAAAGAGAAAGTAATAATAATAATAATTTTATTTGCTAGTAGTAAAATTGTTACTAAGTAGAATAGATTAATGTAGTCAATTAATGTAAGTTTTTACTTTAATAACTTTCCTAGTTATGTCTACCTAATATGTAAATACTTACTATTTTAATGTATAAATAAAATATGTACCAAGTTTCATCAATTACTTTATAAACCATTTGCAATTTTTTTCCAAATATTACAATTTATGTTTTTCTCCTAATAGTTTTTGAAAATGATCAACAAGAAATAGGTAGCGTATAAAAGGATAATCCTGCCAGTTACCAGTGGAATTTCATTCTTCACTTAGTAAGTGTATTTATTTTAATGTTAATAAGGGCACACCAAATACATAATAATACATAATAAATGTATATTATCCATTATTATTTACATGCTATTATAATTTCATTATATTATCAACAAGTATATATAATTAAGGATAAATAAAAACTAGCAGGTAATTGAGTTTTTCATAATTTAAAACACAAAATTCTATCCAATTTTGTATAGATTCTGAACTGTCAGGTTAATATTGACATATATCTTTGTAAATAGATTAGTGTAATGTTATTATCTGGCAGGTTAAAAATTATGTTTTAGATAACAAATACACAATGACTAATTAAATTTTTTTTTTTTATTATAAACTATTTACATAACTATGCCTATTTTATTATTATTAATTTAAATTATATTATTTTTGCTCATTAGCTAATGTTCAGTAACGATTTAAGTGTATTGTTGATCAACCTTCCTTTATTTTATTGTAAAATATTTTTTGTATTAAAATATTGGGAAAGCCTTAGTAGTTAAGTAATTATTAGCATTCAAATTCATAGTACAATATTCTGGTAATTAGACTATTACATTTACTTGTGTTTTTCTCATAATCTTTAATTCTCTATTCTTTTGGAATACAGTCCGTAGTTATACAATGATACATTTATCTTCCATTTGAGGCCGGAGTTTTCCAGAATGCTTATTACTGTAGAAACATGCATCTGTTATGTCTTCAGAGTTCAATAATAGATGTCTTTTTAGTGTATTTTTGTAATCATGAGGGTTGAATTCTACATTGAAATATGATTTGCTCATAATTGTAAACACATAGTATAATATAAAAATTCTACAGTTAAATGAATCTCTTTGTTTTAGAACATTGATAAATGGATATAAAAGAAATTTTATTGTTGGAATTCCAACTTCAAAATTAAAATTTGATTTAATTTTTTTTTCACAAGGATTCAAACTTGATTTTTAAATAGTGATTTTCATTGTCATATGGTTTAGAAGGATCCATGATGTAATACTCTTTTGTATACAAATTTATAATTGTTATTATCCAATGATTTCTATTAATTAGCCATGGTCCAATAACCTTACTCTTCTTAAAATTAGGTGTCAAATCTCTGTTTTGTCCATCAACAAATTCACTGTATTAACTGTTAAAATATATATTGTGTTTATTATACAAGTTATCTAGCATGCCAAATAGACATTGATAACAAAGTTGCACAGCCAATGATTTTCTTGAGGCCATTATTATAATGATTTTCTGACCTGTTAGTTCGATTGAATGGAGATTTAAAACTACTAATTGTTGAGATTGATTTCTTTGTGTCATCATTTCCATGGGGCACATTTGAATCCATTTGAATTTCTATAATGTAACAATCTTTGCCATAGTCTGATTGTTTAGTACATTTTGGCAAAATGTTTTTTTCTTTCCTATTGCTTATAGATTTTTGAATTTAAATGGCCGATACTTGGACAGTAATAGGTGTTTATGTGGTTTCCCCCCAATTTACTATGGCATTCAGATGATTTAGAATACTCTTGCTTGTATTTTTTTAATCAACTTTTGAATTACCTAGATTCTGGATCTCTGGTACGTTTGGTTTATTTTTAAAATCGAGCACTGGCGTACTCCTAGTTTTCCAGTAATTTTGTAAGCCATCTCAAAAATTGACTATTGTGATCACTGTGTAACATGTCTATTTTAACAGTTTTGAACCAAGATTCGACTGTTATCCAAATTATCTTCATTATCTGATCTATCAGGAAAATGATAATCAAAATTAGAATTTGTTTTCATAATATTAATTTCACATTTAGTTTCTTCAGTTTTATTGGAAGACAACAATATAAATGCAAATTGTTTGAATAATTTTTCTATGTCTTTCAAAGTTACAGCGTTAAACAGTATACATATCTAACTGATAATTTTTATTTTTTTTTTTATTTTTCCAGTCTTGCCACAGCTCATATCTGGTTGATAATATTTTTAAACATAATTCACTATTATTTTTGTATAATGATTGGCGCAGACATTTATCACTGTTACAACATTTGACCCATCAATGATTTCAACTAATACTCTATAACTCTAATTCAAGTAGTCAAATATTGATATAAAGCAATTCCAACTCATTTGTTTTACTACTGTAATAACATATCGATATAATCATCTCTATTAAAATCATTAGCAAACAAGGATTCTGATTTGATTTTTCAAACAACATCCTCTCATAACACTTTTTCAATTTACTATACATGTGTTGTTAACCATTCTTATGAGCATTCAAAATATTGTAGTATTTAATCGTATTTGATCACTTTCATATCATCTTTCATGTCAATATTTTTTTTTTAAATATGAGCTTAATAAGTCATAAACTGGTCCTTCGATACAATATTTATTAAAATTATTTATTAATATTAAATAATCTATATTGTCAAATTCTTTAGCTTAATCTAAGTAGAGATTTTCCCATATTTTTTTACTTTCAAATGTATTTTAAATATAGTTAGATACTGTTGATCTGTATTTTTACTAGCCCTAAAACCTAATTGTGAATTTGATAATAATTTATAGTTTTCTAGATAGTGTACTAACGCATATTTTATTTTTTTTAATGGTTTAGCAATATTGTACATTTGAGAAATGAACGGTAATTCTCTATGTTTGATTTGTTACCCTTTTTATAAAAGTTATTTCTGACATTTTAAAACTGTCAGGAAAAGTAGATTTTTAGATGATTAAATTAAAGGTGTGAAAGTGGTCTTGTCAATGAATTTACATTTGATTTAAGAATTTGAATAATAATTTTTTCTAGTCCAGGTGAGGAATTTTGTTTAAGTGACATTATTGATTTTATGATTGTTTCGTCTTTAAAACATTTAATTTTATCAAATATTATTGTAGAATTATTAGTTTTAATTTGATTAAATTCTATGTTATTAAAATTGTGTAATAATTTGTTTTTTATGTTTAATTTTGTTACACATGTTTTGTGCAGCACTGCAAAAATAATAATTATTTCTTTTGAATGGTTAGAGATGTGTAATTTTTCACCAGAAGGACTATATGGATTGAATAGGTAATTTTTTTTTTTTTTTTTTGAGCAATTAGTTATATCTTTAATTATTCTCCAGTTAAGTTTGGAGTTATTGCCAGCTTTATTTTTAATTCTAATTGATAATAAATTTGTTTTGCTATTCTTATAGTATTATACAAGAGATTTTTATATTATAGATAGTATTGGTTTTACAATAATGTTTATTGATTTATTTTTTATGTGAACTCTTTTTCTACTAGTAAGTTTATTTTGATTATCAAGTATTGCACCTTTTCTAAAAGTATATGTTCTCTGGGGAGTACCTGAGACAGGTCATTTTTTTTAACTTCTGGTTAATATTTGAGATAATAAAGAAAACCTAATTCTGTAGGTTAAAAAAGATTGAAAGATTAAAAATTAAAGGTAAGATAATGAAAACGGGTGCAACCACTGATTTAGGTTGGAAGTCGGGGAGGTAGGATATAGACAGAAATTTAAGGTATATCTGTAAGTAATGATGAACCATTACTTACAAAAAACGATTCTGAGCAAAGTTTAGTTGATAGTGATGCTTTGTCAACAATATATATGTCATTTTATAGTAAAAAAAATAATTAAATAGGCTTTATACATTTTCATTAATAAAATTTATTTAATTTTGTACAGATTTCCCGGTTTTCCATGTTTTATTCCTTTTTTTTCACATTTGGTGTGAAAACTCTTGAGAAAATCAAAAAAATGATCTCTTAAAAGTACCTCGCTATTGAAATTTCATTTTAATAAATATTGCTACCATAAAAAGTTAAAGTAAACTTGATAGTAGAAAAGTTGTTTACAGAAAAAAAGAAGGCCGTAATATAGTTTAACAAATACTTACATTTCTTATATATTTTCACTTTTTTTTTCTGTTTTTCAAATTTGATGAGAAAATTCTTGAGAAAAGGTGCTAAATGTAGAAATCTAAGTAAGTTTTCTGGTAGAAAAGTTGCGCACAGATTAAAAAAAAAAAACATCTTTGTAAAATCATAAGCTTCTTCACTCAGAATCTAAAACAAGCATTATTTTAAGTGTACACTAAAAGATATGAAAATTTTAAAATCATCAAAAAATTTATGATTTATGTTTAGGTATTCCTTATCTCTTCCCGAAAACTGAGGTCTCTGGACTGAAATATTTCGTATAACCTTTAAAAGGAAACACACTGTATGTTTTTCTGAATGTTAGGTACACTGGTGTTTAGGTATGTTCAGATTTTTATCTCCTAAAGAAGAACAGATTTTCCAGATAGTACCCGAATTACCGTTTTCATTGTCTTCAAAATTGTAATACCAAATATTCATATTACTCATTTAATTTATTGTTAAATTGCACGGGCTGTTTCATGAATGATTCATGGGTCTGCTCCACGAACAATTAATGAAATACAGGAAACATGAACAAATTTTTATTTTGTTAATTCTTAAAATGCAAATTTATAATTTATTGAATTTCTTTTTAAAAATATATACTTCATATTTAATTAACTTAATTTTATTTATATATAAAAAAAACTGAAGTAAAAACCAAATGTTAATTTTTATATCATCAATGACCTTTACGACTTTACTCATCCATGAAAGAACTTCAATGTTTACTGTTAATTAATTATTCTTTATTTATTAAAGTGATTTTTACCTATTATTCATTTTTTGTATAATATTCTCTTTGTACCTGTGTTAATGAATTTTTAATTTTTATGATCTGTCTCAAATAACAGGAAATTGCCTACCTACTAAGATAATATATCTGTGTGGTTTATAGTATTATGTTTTTTCAAATTACTTGGAAAAAACACATCACTTGAGGTAGATACTAAGAAGTTAGGTATACATCAAAATATTATAAATTATAAAGTACCTTATTAATATAAATTATCTACCTATATATTTTTAACAGATTGACGGACACTTGTAATATAATTTTTATTGTTATATTAAGAGTGCTATACCTACATCTAAAGTCTATGTAAATTTTTAGCGTGGACTAATGTGGCAGTCCACTGTCTTCTATGATTTGTTACCACTGAAAAAATTACTGCTTCAGCAGTATTGACGTAATATGACATTTTACATATTTCTGCTATAGCAGTAATGTTCGTCGATGTGTTAATATTATTATTTTTTTAATTCAATAATAAATTAATGTACTATTTACTAAAAAAAATGTTGTAGTAATGAACTTTAATTATGATTATTATCAATTATGAATAATAGTTAGTGTGGTGAAAACGTATACTATAGTTACTTATATGATGTTTCTACCTACATAATATACACTCTTAACTCTCAATCTCTTACTCAGAATGCCCTCAGCTTTCTTTTCTAAAATGTTTGCATGTGTATATGACCATTTTGATTCTGTTGTGGTGCCCCAGTGGTCGAAAACAGCACTCACTATTTACAAAGAAAACATTTATGAAAAATGTAGCATTCTTAACCTGAATAGGATGTAATAATTCATTTTTTTCTAAACATTTTTAGAAATTAATGCATTACTTTTAGTTTTTACTGTTAGTTTGTTTGAAAACACCAATTTAAAAAATTTTAAAAATATACATTAAAGTGTTTCTATTTGTATTTCAGATATTTCTTGGTCATATTTATTTTTGGTATCTATAGATTACAAAATTATGACTGACAGCACTGATAAACCAACAGCGATGAATTCTAAAACTAATACCACCTTTCATTTTAATACTGTAGAAGTTAAAAACTCAGAAGGAATTGAAGTTACAGATAAACAAGAAAATTTAAAGCTTAAAGAAGAAATAATGTCTATTGAAGAACCTGAACAATTTGATGAAAAAATGACATTTGAAGTTGAAAGAGTTTCCGAGTCTATCAATCTTGAAGACACTGCAATGGCAGTTGATGAGGCAGTACAGCAAGAAACTACAGATGAACCAGCATATGAGAAATCTGGCAAAGCAGAAAACTTGATGGAATCAGATGATCAAGAAAGACAAGAAAGTCTAATTCAACCAACTAGAGATGAAACTGTAACAGTTGGTCATGACAGTTTGATTAATGGAAGTCAACAAAATATTCCTGAAATAGATAATTCAGTTCTTCATCCATTTGGTAGTATGAAAGATGCTAAATTAAAAGACTTGGTTAATAGAGAATTATCGAAGTTATTAATGGAAGAACAAGAAAAATTAAAACATGCTCAACCACCTCTCCTAGATGTTCAACCAGAGTACATAATAGTAGATGAACAAATTGAAAATCCTGAAAATACTTCGAGTGATGATAAAACAGCTATAGACATAAGTAAATATTATACTGAAGATGCATTGTCAACTTTAGCAAACGCTGCTCTGAACCTGTTCCCCCCTATCCCTGGGTCTGGAAAAGAAGTAATATTAAAACCCACCAAACCAACAAGTAACGTTACACAAGAAGGGCCTGCTTGGTGTGATGTTGGTGTAATTCAGGGTACAACATTTACAGTGAAACATTTTTACCCAACATCAAACACTGATGAACATGAAGTTACTAGCTTGGATAATTTAACGGACTATACAAATAAATTAAAAAGTAATCTGGAACCGGGTACACTCTATAAATTCCGTGTAGCTGGCATAAATGCTTGTGGACGTGGAGAATGGAGTGATGTATCAATATTTAAGACCACTTTTCCAAATTTTCCATTTGCTCCATTTGATATTAAAGTTAGAAAATCAATAGAAGGTGCCAAATTAACATGGGAAATTCCTCCTTTTAGTTATGGTAATATTGAGGAGTATTCTGTTTGTATGGCAACCAAAAAATATCTTAAGGGGATAGCACAAAATCTAATGCTAAATACAGCAAATCATCATTTTGTCCGTGTTTATAGTGGACCTCAAAATTCTGCTATAATTTGTAACGATGTACTTAATGTAGCTTTGATTGACAAAACTAAAGACCCTGCTATTATATTTCGCATTGCTGCTAAAAATGAATGCGGATATGGACCAGCTACACAAGTTAGATGGTTACAAGATATTTATTTGCCTGGACCATCAACTAGACCATTCTAATTTTTTAGTAGCATGTATTAATGCATTATTAATATTTTCTTAAATTCTTAAAGTCATAAGTTAATAATTATCATATTCAATTAAAATAGACTTATTATTAATAATAATAATGTTCTAATTTAAATACATTTAATGGTTTTTCAACATTTGTAGTAGTTAGTAATAAAATACATAAATAAATACATAAACATATTTAAATATTAATGGTTAAAGTAATTGTTTTATTGTGTTTTAAAATGTAATAAAACAATAAATGAAGCATGAATAGGAAGGTCACCATTACTTTTTTCCATAAACACATACATCTATATATGTATGTATAAAATATATATTATAGGGCCAATGATATAGCTATCATAGGAAAAAGTGAGGTAATGCCTGAGGTCCCAGAGCTCTGGAGGCTTCTGGATTAAATATTGATATATTAAATAGTAAATGCTTATTTGAAATCCTACATGGTAATTCCAGTCAAAATTAGTATTACAATAGAATAAAAATATTCATAGATATTTATAGAATATAATGCAAGATTCAGGAATACCAAAAGGAAGATTTGGTAATAGAGAAAATTCATTGAACTTCTGGATGTCAGTTTTTAAGTTCAGTACATTTTGGAAGCCAGGACAAGCTGCAGTACCTATGGCGGGTAGGATACTGAAGTAATCAAAATATAGAAGTTAGTTGAGATATAATGTAAAATAAAATAATACAGAATATAATGAAATACAAAAATGTCTTCCCAAACACCTTCTGAGTTTTCCTCTCATTGTTCAATATTGATATGGTTACTTCATTGTACTGTGCTTGGTCCCTGGTGCTAAAGACAGCAACATATGTCACACCAAACAATGTATTTGTTGAAATTAAAACTGAACAAGAAATCGACAATCTATACAATATTCCGAAATTATTGATTTGTTAATAAATTATCATAGTTGAATTGCTAATACAAGTATGAAACTGTCCCATCAATAATATACTAGGATTAAATACTTAAAATTTTTTACAACTAAGTACAAGGAGTTTAATTTATTATACACATGATTTTATAATTGTGAAATGTATTAATCATGACAAACTATACAAAATTCTTTACAAAAATTAAGCAGTCAAACAGACTTTAAATATTTTAAATATAATTAAAAAGTAATAACATTATGAAAAAAATAAAAATGTTCCTTCGAATTTTCAGATCTTTTGGATGTGATGAGCATTAAATTAACCAAAAAGCCATTCGATGGTTTTTAATGTTCAGTCTAAATACTCACTTTCAAAATAAAACAAAAACATATACACAAATAATAAGCAGATGAAAAATAATTGAACCATTGAACCTTATTTAGATAGTAGAAAATTAAATTTTTGAGAATATTTTAGTTTTGTCGGAGATTCGATAATAAATTTAAAAATTCAATTTTCCAAAAGGTAAAAGACAGTAAATTTTTTTTTTTAACGCCAATGCATTTCTTTTTATGTGATAATTATTTTTTTGACTATTACTATTAATATTTTATTAGTTTATCACTTTGACCCCAATCAATTTAGAACATCTAGCAGCCTCACATTGACAAGGTATTTTCTCAACTCCTGAGCAACTCTCCAAACAGTAATCAAACACCAGCTCTGTACCAGCTGTAATGTCCTGTAAAGCAAAAAATCCAATTCTAGTGTTTCCGTTCACTATCCATTTCTGTGTTACACAATTTGGTTCACATGAATGGTTCAAAAATCTGTTATTAAATAAAAAACTATATAAATACAACATTTCCATATCATCAAATAGGATATTAATAATTTTAAATTATTAAAAAATGATTTACTTAGCCATTTTTTAAAAATAAAATTGTACTTATTATAAAAAAAAAATTATTTTTCCTTAATTATTATTGTAGTGTTAAAAAATTGTGTGTAATAAATTAAAGATGTTTGAGGTGAGGGGGGCTAACTCTAACAATAATTTTTTACTTTTACATGGCGTTAATGACATGTTTAAACACTTTTTTGACGATTTTAAGAGCTTTTAATTTGTTATTATAATATTTAATATAAATTTGATCTGCCTTTAAGAAATTATTTAAATACAACAACTATGCAATACTTTATGTATTTAATACAATCATTTTAAATTAATAATGGAAAAGTCTATAATTTTAAATAAATTTAAATTACTCTTTCCTCAAACTATCTTTATATTCATTGATACATTGAAATTATTTTTACCTTGACATATTTCCTTTGAGTCCAGCATCAATTATTCTAGAATTATCTATGGCCAAAAAATAATAATTTTGATCATTCCGACTGCTCATTTCATGACATCTCTTTTGAAATTCTTCTTTATCAATAACATCACCAACATACTCAATTATAAATGATCCTAAAATTATAATAATTTATCAAATTGTATTTTTAAGAATTTTACAAACCCAAACCTTCTTTTATATTGACTAAAGTTTTAAGCCCCCAGCCTTTGTGTTTTGTTAAAAATGGAACCATCTTTGGATACAATCTTTTTTCAAAGTTTTGATTATTACATTTGTGACCAGCTCGGCATAATTTTGGATGACATTCATATGTCAGTATTCTACAAGATAAATTAAAATTTAGTATAATATTCAAAAAAAAGTGGTTATAAAATACCTATTTATACAATCAGAATCTAAACCACATGGATTTTCCTGGTTTGGATTACAGTCACATGGAGACATATTCTTAGTACCAAGTTCCTCAATTTTTACATTGCCAAAAGGTTTGTTAACCTTAATTGGAACATATTTGGGAGGCTTCTATAATGAGAAAAATTAATTATTAAAAATTGTCTGGTGTTATTAAAGAAATTTAATAATTTACTATAGAGCATTGTTTTGTTTTTACATCATTATTTTTGTCTTTATTTAAAATGTATCTACTGTGTTCTTGAGATGCTTCAATAATAGCATCTTGGAAGTTTCGATCTATAGTCTTCTTATTATTTTGTATTACATTATTTTCATCCTAAAAGATAAAATAAATAAGAAATTAAAGACAATTTCCCTTTCAAGTTTGGTTCCACCATTGCTAAATAAATATAATAAATCTAAAAGCAGTGTCTTTTTCCTTTTTAAATAATGTGGTTTTACATTTACATTACCTATTTTAAAAATAACCATTTAACCAGATAATTTAATTATCCTGAAATTTTATTATTTATCTTTCAAATAAAAATGTTTTGTTTATTGTTTACATTTTACAAAGAAAAATTCTATAACAGCCAATTTTAAATATCAACTTATATTATTATTGTTTATTTCTTCAAAAAGATAATAGGTTCATGTGGGGGCCCATAAGTTCACAATTTATAATAAAAAAAAAAATAAATTTAAATAATAATTTACATTTAGCTTTTTTTTTTTTTCAATTTTAGACTTATTAGATAAAACTAACTTAAAATATACAATGTAGGTAACAATAATTAAAACAAGGAGACATAAGGTAATGTATAATATGGTTTGATTAAATATAAATGCAAGCAAGTAGATTAATGACATAAAAATATTTGAAGTTTTAAAATTGGTTCATTTTGCAGCCAGTTAGTTATTTATTTTTTTTAAGTATTAAATTATTATTAAAAATACTCATGTCTTATGATATTTGTATGATATTAATTAGTTATAAAAGAGAGATAAAATGCCCGCCTAAAATTCGAATATTATAATTAATGTAGAGGTAACATTATTGCATTAGTTGTAGTAGACGAGTGAACGGTCTCACCATACTAGGAAAATGGTTACGAAAACCGTAAACTTTTACGGCCAATTACAGTGTCATCGGTTACCGTATATGTCACTAATTGTTATCGGTTATGATTTTAATAGACGAGTAGTATTAACAACTAGATATGTTCTAGGTATTCGCCAACAATTAAGGCTCAGGCACATAGAAAGCGGGTTGCGATCGCTAGATTGTCGTGATCTGGTGACGTCACACACAACATGCGTTTGTTTCATGGGCGGTCTAGTATAAACACTACATTTTTCACAGTTATTACAATATATCTATTCAACTTTGGTTGTTGTCACATAGTTAAATATATATTCTTTTTTATTGTTTTGTAATATTATACTACTTAATATTATATATTCAATATGTCAAGTTCGACTGATATTTCAAAAATTACAAGACTTTAGTTTTTATATCAAATTTAAATGAAAACTGCAAAAAAAATTTAGGGCACTTCAAATTATATATTACCGAACTGCGCTCGGAATCGTCTTTCGTCAAGTAATGGTTTATCGTTGCTTACAGATAAAAATAAAATAACCTTATGTATCCTACTTTCCTAACTTCTCACCTACAACAGTGGCCGCTCCCATCACCAGTATCAGCTCTTTTTTTAAAATGTATTATTTATATTAATTTATTATATTTATTTGAATATTAACCTGTATTCTACAGCCTTAGATTCGTAGATAGATTAATATATCGTCTTGTAGAATACAGTCTTATATCTTATTATATATTTGTTTATTAATCTGTATTTTATAGCCTATTATATCTATATAATAACAACATTTTGTATTCTTTTATACGGAAAAAATTTAAATTCATAATAATAATAATAATAAGAAAATTTTGGTTTTCGTACATAATACGTGAGCCGCATGTTGGGCACCCCTGTTGTTTATACGTTGTCGTTGTCTGAGAGTCTACAGCTAGTGGTGAACGACGTACGGGGGATTTAAAGGACAGTCGCAACTGCACGTACAGCGACCGAATATAATCGTTTATTGCCACGCCGTCGGACAGACAGAGAAACTAATAATAATGTGCGACAAAGACGACCAAGAAATTCCAGGGTCGTAGCACACAACAGGTCTTCGGCCATTAACGATCCTAAAGATGTACTCATGCGCGTGCGTACACAGTTTCGACAAAACATTGTGTAGTAATGTTATGGAATTTCGGATTCGTACCTATATCAACTCTATATATAAAAATGGACACCTATTTTCCTTGGTCATGCCATCATTTGAAAATAACTAGAGCGATTTTAACGCAGTTTTTTGCAAAATATTCCGCATTTTCCGGGAAAGCTATTTAAATACATCCCATATAGAATACAATCCCCCTAAAATTCAGGTTTATTATTATTATTGTTTATTTCTTCGAAAAGTGGGCCATACTGAACAGGTTTGTATAGGGGCCCTTGAGTTCACAATTTATTATAAGGAAAATATTACATTGATATAATAATTTAAATTTAACTTATTTTTTATATAATTTTAGACTTATGAAACTAACTTAAACATATTAATGTAGGTAACAATATTTAATATATGGAGACTTAATGTATAATACAGTTTGATAAAATACAAATTCAAGCAACTAGATTAAAGACATACAAAAATTTAAAGTTTTAAATTTGGTTTATTTTGCAGCCAGTTATTTTTAAGTATTAAACGATACAGTTGTTTTGAAGTCTAATGGTAGTGTATTATATATTTTTGGTCCTATATATAAGTAGATTATAAAAAAAGTTAGTTATAGTTTAGTTTTCTGTGTATTCAGGGAACAGTAAGGTTTGATAATTGTCTTGTGTTATATCCATAATCAATACTAAGTGTTAGGTTAGTTTTAATTATATAAATTACCGATGTCTTATAGAACAATTTTTTAATGGTAGAATATTTAATTCTTTGTATAGATATTCTGTGTGATATTAATGAATAATGATTCTTTTTTAAAATAATTTGTATTATTCTATTTTGTATTGTTTTTAATGGATGTAATGTTATATCATAAGCACATCCCCAAATAGTAATACTATAGTTAACTATAGATTCTGTAAGAGCTTTATACACAATTCTAATTTTCTTAATACCAAATAAATAGGCTAAATTTTTGAAAGCATAGATTATTTTTTTTAGTTTTATTGGTGTCTGTTTAATGTGGTCATGCCATTTACAGTTAAGTTACATTTAAATGCCTAAGTATTTACAAGATTTTACTATTTTTAATGAAGTTTGACATGAACAAAATTTTGGATTTGAGCATCTATATTCATAAATACACAGGCTGATTATATCTGGTTGGTTTGAATTAGTTATATAGTGTAGTAATAAGTAAGTTTTTTATAAATTTAAGAATAGATTATTTGCATATAATCAATTATTGATTTTTCTCAGGTCATGTTATATAAATGAGAATACCTTGTCCCAAGAGTTACCATTTCATCAGCATAACAGACTAGTTTATTATGTATCTTTAAATCTTTTATTTGGTTAATTTGAATAATAAATAGGGTGGGAGAGAGGTTAGTACCTCCACATATTGTTACTGTTTCTAGGCCTAAGGAATTATTTATTGGAACTTTTTGTTTCCTATTTTTAAATAATAAGTCGTAGCCTGGATCTTGGATACAAAATTTATTAAAATTATTTTATATTAAATGGTCTATAATGTCAAATACTTTAGCTAAATCTAAGTAGATAGTTTCACATTTTTTTTTATTTTCAAATGTATTATAAATATAGTTTGATACTGTTCTCTGTATTTTTACCAGCCCTAAAACCTAATAATAAATTTGATAATAATTTAAAGTTTTCCAGATGGTGTACTAACTTATATTTTATTATATTTTGAAAGGTTTTTAGCAATATTGGAAATTTGAGAAATGGGCGGTAATTTTCAATGTTTGATTTATTACCTTTTTTATATATAGGAGTTATTTCTAAAATTTTAAAACTGCCAGGAAATGTAGACTTTGAGATGACTAAATTGAAATTGTGGGAATTTGGTCATCTCAAAGTCTACATTTCCTGGCAGTTTTAAAATTTTAGAAATAACTCCTATATATAAAAAAGGTAATAAATCAAACATTGAAAATTACTGCCCATTTCTCAAATTTCCAATATTGCTAAAAACCTTCCAAAATATAACAAAATATAAGTTAGTACATTTGATTTAAGCATTTTAACAGTAATTCTGTCTAGTCCAAGTGAGGTGTTTGTTTAAGTGGCATTATTGAATCTATTGTATTGATTTTATAATTGTTTCATCTTTAATAAAGTTGAATTTATCAAACATTATTGTTGAGTTATTAATTTTAGTTTGATAGAAATTCTATGTTATTAATATTGTGTAATAATTGTTTTTTATGTTTAGTTTTGTTATACATATTTTGTGCAGCACTGCAAAAATAATTATTATTTCTTTTGATTAGTTAGAGATGTGTAATTTTTCACCAGAAAGATTTTGTATGGATTGGATAGGTAACTTTTGTTTTGAGCTGTTAATAATATCTTTAATTATTCGCCAGCTATATATATATATATATAAACAAGGTGGTTTATGTATTGCTAAACACTTATTATTTCAAAAAATATTTAGTTTTTTCAACATTTATTTTTTTTTTATCGAATTTAAGGAACAAGCAGCTCTAAAATGATACATTGCCATTATTCATTGACACCTTTATTATTGAAAATAAAACTGACTGTCTACTTTTGATTTTCAAATGGTAAACTATATTAAAATAATTATTAGAATAATAATTAATAGTAAATAGTCCCAAAAATAAGCATAATATAACATTTAAAGAGTTGCTTGGTCTTTCAATTTTTTGAGATAAATTTTGAATAATTTTGAAATATGATTGTTCAACAATTACCCTGTACATATTTCAGTTTACTTATTGAAGCATTAGTAAATAATAAATTACTAATAGCTTTGATCATTTCTAAGGTAATAGTGTAAATACAAGTGTTGGGAAAGACATATATTATTGTTTTATAAGTGATAAAAGATTAATAAAAATAATTATTACCCCTTCATGAAAAAAAAATACTTGTCCACGGTTCACCCAACAATAATCGTGTGTTCCACAAAATTGTACTGCAAATTCTCCAACAGAATGTGCTTTTACATTGATTATATGTGGAACTTGATCTGGAAAAATAATTTTTGCTGGCCACCACCTACAGAAATAGTGATAATTTTAGTAACATTAATTTAAACAAATTGAACACTTTAATATTACCAATTGTGCAAAAATATGTATATTTTAAATTGAATGATTCAATATAAACATGCTTTTTACAACTTCAAAAATAATGCACGGATACAATAAAATTGGAGAGAATGTACATTATAAAATTATAAGAAAAAAACTGAAAATTCAATTTTTCTAAATTTAGTATTGCAATTAAAAATCTACCTTTCCTTTAATAGTCACATTTATTAAGAAATAAACATTGGCTACAAAACATATTTGATGTACAACAATAATTTGTTACTGTTATATACATTTTTTAGTTTTTTATACCATGCAATCTTGTTTTTATATATAGAAAAGTGACTACTAGTTACTTTTTAATATGGAATAAATTAAAATTAAAAATAATTTAATATTGATTGTGTAAAAATGTACTGGAAGAACACACAAACCAGTTAATAGCATTGCATTTTATTGGATACCAATATAAGAAACATGTTATTGGTTCTATGTTAGGTATTTCAAGTATTCAGTAGCATTACATATATGACATACTTATGTAAATGCAAATTAGTTAAATAAATAAAAAATAATAATACATTTAATGTTGAATTGTACCTATAATTTCCTATTTTAGTCCAAACTATTTCATTGTATAAAGGATATCGTCCACATTGACATTCTTCACAAATAAAACGGTTTTCAAATTTTGATGGATTTTGATTTAAACAATTCACGTGGAAAGAATTTGGACATAAATCGCAGCAAACCAATGTACCACCTTAATAAAATATATTGGACAATCGTATAGTAAATAAAAATAAACAAATAATTTAAACATATATTTGAATAACCACCTTCTGTACAAATGATACACCAGGAAGTATTAAAGTGGTGTTTGTTTGTTTTTATAGGTTCAAAATGTCTACTACAAACAATATCAAAGTATGTTAAAATTTCACTACCGGCTGGCAAACAGTATTCACCTGCATAATACAAACTATTAATATAAATATAAATAATAATTCCTTTTTTTTTTAGGTATATTACTTCGATGATAAGATGTTGGACATTTAATACACCTGATAAGTTGTTTATCAGGGAAATATGCTTTGCATGCATTTTCAGGATTACTAGAAATACATAAATGACAAACATGATGCGGGCACATAACAGTTGGATCAGTGTTTGGTGAAACTTCACTCCACTGACATTGAGGCCACTCCTCCAAACAATTTCTGTGATAATATCTTTTACAAGTATCTATAAATTAAGACAATAATAATTAATAATATTACTGAGTCATTTTAATGATATTACATTATTTAAGTTAAAAATGAATTAAAAGATATTTACAAACCAAAACTTTGAAATTTAATGGCATATTAAATTATTGTTAATAAAAGAAGTAAGTTTTGAAAGAAAAACAATCAAATTATATAAAATATGTATATATTGAACTCACCTAATTTACAAACAAGTTTTTGTTGAGTATCATCAATTAATAAACCACATATAAAACAATCAGTTTTATTTGCTTTGCATGAACTACATATATTTTTGGATTCCTTTTTCAATAATTCATTAGTAGATTTAATCTCAATGTTAAAAATTGATGTTCTTTGAACAGAATCTTTTTTTACATTTTTTAATTTCATTTTTTTGTTACATTCCTGGTTACTTATAACAAAACATTCTTTATGGAAATATTTTTGGCATGAGCCCGTGCATTTAATGGTTTCATTAAATTGTTTGCAAACAACACAAGCTCTTTCAAAGATTTTTACAAAATATAGCTGTTTATTTATTTTAGAGGCTGTAAAAAATTTATGATTAGAATAAATTAATTTCTTTTACTAGATGAGTCACTTTCTAACTTACCTGGTTTCAAACTAATTGCAGGCATTGTCATTGACTTTCTAGAAATAAAAATAAAATTATTTTAGTATAATTGAAAAAAAAAATTTAAAAATTTAAAGAAAACTCAGTTTGAATTGTTACCTTCTGGAAGATATATTGTCATTAATGATAAGTTATGAAAATTTATATTAAAATTATATGTAAGTGTTACCTTCCAGGATTTTCTTTAGTTGATTTTTCAATAACTTTAGTATTTGGTTCTGTACTACTTTCACAAATCACATTTTTGGATTTCCTAGAAACAAAATAAAAATGGATGTAGTATGATTGTAAAGAAAATAATTAAAAATTAAGAGAAAACATTATTATATCACTCAGTTTGAATTGTCACCTTCCGGTATATATATTGTCATTAATAATAAGTTATGAAAATTTATATTAAAATTATATGTAAATGTTACCTTCCAGGATTTTCTTTAGTTGATTTTTCAATAACTTGAGTATTTGGTTCTGTACTACTTTCACACATTACATTTTTGGATTTCCTAGAAACAAAATAAAAATTGTTGTAGTATAGTAGAAAAGAAAAATAATTGAAGAGTTAAAAGAAAATATTATCAAAGTTTTTAGTTTAAAAGGTTTACCTTTTGAGATTTTCAGGAGATTGTTTCCAATGAGTTTTTCTTTTTGCTTCTTCTTTCTTCAGACTAGAATAAATAGAATATAGAACTATAGTGAATTAATATTTATTTTCTACTACTAGCTTAACAATACTAATATAATACCTTTGGGAGTGTAATTTAACAGTTCGCCTGGGTGATATACTTCCATCCACAGATATGTTTTCAGTCTTAATTATTTTAGAACTAATACCTTGTTCTGAAAATGTGTGTACTGTTGTGGCCTAAAAATAATAAAAAGTAACAGTATAAATCCAGTAAAAATAAATTAAACAAATTATAAGAAACCATTTTAACCTACAGTAGTATTGCTTTTAGAATAATTATTTAAAGTGGATGTAAATGGACAATCTAAACTTGAAAATGTTTTTGAAAATTCCATAATTTTTACTTTTTTGAAAAATTATAAGTACCTATATTATAAAAAAAAAAATTACACTAATATGAGTTTTTCTAATATCACCATAAGGCACTTTAAAATATAATTAAACAATCAAAACGTGACAAAAAAAAATTTGACAAATATGAAATAACCAGTCGACATGTAGCAGGCACTTATCATTTCTTCCCGGAAATAAGAAAAATAACTTAAAATGGACGAAATCCAGGTACACCAACTTTGTAACATACAAATCTTAATTGTTTACGTAAGACACTATATTAGGTGGGTATACCATGCTGCCATTTTTCTCCTTTTGATTTTCTTATCTACATTCGAATTATCAAATAATAAATATTGAAATTTTTTGTAGGATTCGCCAATAGACCTAACCTACGAAGAAAGACAGAAGACACGTAGTTATTGTGATATAAATATTATAATTTATAATTTAATGAAAGAAACAAAATTATATTTTAACAAATTAATTATTACGACAACGTAAAACAAGTAAACAAAATATACAGGTGAGCACGTTTTCTAAAAGCGGTCGAAAGAACAAAAGGTTAAGACCGGAATGGCGGGAGCTCGAGTGATGTTAAGAGCACGATTGAAGATACAATATTTTTTATTGGCCAACTTCCAGGCAGTGCTGTTCTCCTCGGGGGAGAAATAGTGTGGCGTATAATCCGCCACAATATTGAATTATTAACTATAATGTTTTTAAAGCTTCATGGTTATATTATGCTTGTTTATAAAATTAATTAATTAATAATTATTATTATAAATTGTATTTAGTTTAGGAATAATTTCGAGAATTGAAACTGTCTTGTTTTTACACTGAACTCTATAATTTTGGTTCTATATTGTAGACATATTTGTTGAGTCACATATTAAGATAAAAAAAATATATTTTTTTTTAAAAATCCAACGTTTTTGTGTTTTTTTTTTTTTCATAGACTGCAGTAAAAAATTACTCAAGTTTACCTTATACCCAATGTATGTATTTTGTAAAGGAAGTTCTCAGCAATAAGAATATATAATTTTAATACGTCCCATCTGTAAAGCACAAAAATCATATTGTCATGAAAAAAAATTATGTTTTTTTAAAATTTAAAATTAAACAATCATTTTATGAAATATTTGGTTTGGTTTAAATACTTATATTTATTCCAAAAAATGAATCATTTAGTGTATCATATTCGTTACTTATATCATATTGTTACTTATAATCATCAAAGTATAACAATGAAAATGAAAATTATTAAAAATAAAATATTAGTAAACTTTATAAAAAGTATTAGGTACTAGTAGGTATTTGACGGAGAGTTTTTTTTGGGATATCCTTTAATTTTTTCATTAAAATTTTGAATATAGTTAAATTGTGTTTTTTTTTTATCAAGTGAAAAATTTGGGATCAAAATATCTTTGTTATTCTATGGATTGAGTAAATGAATATATGATGTATACTGTATAGCTATGAATGTTGCTTGAAATGATACTATAATAATACAACGATAAAATAAATAAACAAAATTTATCTTTATTCACCGTCGCAAACAACGCGTTAAAAATTATACAATTTTGTTTGTATTGTTTGTAGTCATACCTAATATTAAATATTAATACTTGCAGGTACTTATATTATATTAAGTTTGTATAAATATCAGAGTAGCGCAAAGAATATAAAACAAAACTCTATAAAAAAAAATAAAAGTGTTTTATATCAGTGTTGTACCTGGATCAAGTAAGGACCCTTCAGTGAAAAGAGAAAATTAGTTTTAATATTTTTACTAGGGTTTTCCTAAAAAACTCAAAGTTTATTAAGATTTATGTGTGTTTATAATTGCTACCTAACCTATTATTATTTAGTAACATGTATTGATGTATTGCCATTATTTGCTTAAAATTTTAAAAATAATAAATTAAATTATTATCATATATTTTATTTAAATTAATACTAATAAGAATATTTTTCTTATTCAACCATATATCCGTACTACATATTGATCAGGTACGTACTTTTGTTTCGGTAAACAATATGCCAATATGCCAGAAATATTAATGGGATTAAAAAATGTTGAAAATTTGGTTTAAAAAAAATTGTATTTTTCCAATTTATAAACAAAGTACTATAACAGATGATTTTTCAAAAACATAGTAAACATCAGATTAAAATAAAATGTATCATGTTGGTATAATAATACATATGCAATTCATACTAATATTGAATTATTTATGCTTAATATGGTTAATATTTATTACAATAATTTTTCAAAAAAATTCAAGTCTTTGTAATCCGGATAATACGTAGTTCGGATTTAACGATCTGAATCTCTAGGTGCATTCGAGATCTGGATAAGCGAATTCTACAGTCAATAACCGTACGCGTATACAATTGTGTATTATTTATTCCTCATTCGCAGTGGCGATACCGCCATACAGGATCAATTTTTATTGCTGTTGCCGTTGCCGTTATACAAATATTATAAAGCTTTCATATACTTGCAACCCCACTGCACTGCATGTTATTATGTTATTGTCGCAAATAATAATATTGTAGTAAATAGCGTACGCACGAGGCAATATGAAATTCAATTTATAATACCAATAACATAAAATGCTGGAGTCGTATAAGCGTTATTGTATAAATAAAAGTATAATACCAATAAGATTGCATCTAACCGATAAACAAGCACGACCCTCTTTTTTTAAATTTTGCAATGTTTTTATCTAAAAACTGACGAACAAAAAAATATACTCATAATATAATGTGTTTCATGCTGAGAACACCACACCCTCAATCAGAAGAGCTATGTTTAATGCACGGTGGTGAGAGAGAAGGGAGGCGAACTACGAAGCCACTACACACCGACGTACACAACAGTATATGAAATTATAGACGAATACAAATAATATGTAAGTATCTATATTATAGGCATGTTATTATCTTATAATTTTTCAGCCGTGGGTCGTCACAAATGAGTCAAGTCACATGTCATTTTTGCAAATATAGTAAATTATGTGAGAAAGCTATTCTTAGTTTTAGAATCAGAGCGTAGGGAGGGATTTATTGGTTTTACAACGATGTGTACTTTTTTTTTTTTTTTTTTATTCGAAACGCATTGGTTTTATATTTATTTTTCTGCCTGTAAACCACTTTTCGAAAAGAAATCTTGCTCCGTTGGGTAGAGTAAAGTACGTTTTTAAATTTTGTGATTGGTGCATTATACTTATTACTGAACAACAATTTCATTATTTTAAACAATTAAGGCTTATGTTTTCTATTAGAAATATTGTTCCAATAAAAAAACAACAGGTGACATTTTTTGTTGAATTTTTAATCTAGTTGGTGTCCAAGAATGTCGTTTTTTGATTTTCTTTATAATTTTTTTAATAATTGAACAAAACCGATAAATATGTAGAAAGCGAATGGACAGATTTATGAAAATAATTATTTTGTTATTTTATATTTTGTTTATTTAATGTAATTCAGTTGAAAATATTTGTGGAGATTTGAAATTGCAACATATTTTATCTGTGTATAATAGTAAGTATATGCACACAAACTTATTATGTGTATAGGTCTCGAACCACGATCTACATGGTATTATTTTTTGGGTCATATCATCACAAATGACATGCTACGAGTCTGTGACCATGCATAATGCTATATTCGCGTATGGTAAATCGTTCTGGCTCTCGAGATAAATGAATCACTCTGTATATACGCATATACCATAGTTAAGGTACAGGGGACGCGATTTGGGTTGCATTATATGCGTATGTATATTTACGAGAGGGTTCTATGCACGCAGCACAGAGTATATCATAATATACACAATATCTATAATCTGCGGAACAAAGGCTCTCGTGATCCGCGACAAAACAACCGCTAACGAGCTCTCGCAGCGTTCGTCATTGCTCTGATAATTTAATAATGTATGTATCCCGATCGTTTCTGTTGCTACTGCAAGCGACGGTAGTCCGGAAACTATCGAACCGCCATCGCAGCGGCGTGTACATAATATACTTCCGGATGTAATAGTAATAAAGGATTTTTTTTTTTTTTTTAACGTCGTTTATTATTTAATATAATAATATTTGCGTATAGTGGTAATAACGCGTACACCAACAGACTTTAAAGAGAACTGCGAATTATAATATTATTATACATCAGCACGACAGTTCGATCCACTCCCCTTTTTCCGGGCGACAAACGACGATAGTCGGCCGTTTTCGCATTCTCCCCATTCCGATACTTAGAAATATATTATATGCATATATTTTTATATTTTCGCGTATTTATATTTTATACGTAAACCTTTACATCATTTTAAAACCAATAGATCTTTTGTTACGCTCAGAATCTAAAGAACAGAATGCAATAAATTTTCAAAAAACTGTAACCGTAAAATTTATAAGAACTTACTCGTGTAATTCTGATATAATTGGTACATTGAGAAGGTCAGTTTTTGATTTTCCTTGTAGGTTTCTTAATAAATGGAAAGCTGTATATTGTATACATTTGTGTTATTTCCGGGGTACCAAGGGCAACAAGGGAGAAAGTACGATTAAGAATACTCTGCTCAGAATCGTTAACAATTCATTAACAATGGTTTATCATTGCGATATATATTAAACTACTCTACATATTCCCTCCCTTCCAACTTCAAACAGTAGCACACTCATTACTCATTAGCAGAATCAGCTTTTTAATTGTTTATTATATATTGTGAGTGTAGTGTGACCCATCGGTTCGGAAGGGATGCTATTTGGCAACCATAAGTACGTAATGTACTCACACACACACACACACGCATATACACGCACATACACACATACACACGATGGGTAGTCACCAACGCTAAAAGTTTTCTTCCTTTCCTTCCCTCACCTCTCTCCCCCACTCGATTTCCCCGGGATAATAACCCCATCGAGCGATCAGGATGCCTTCCTTTCCGATAATAAAATCACGAAGTCGTATAATATATTATGTTATGCCAGTCTCTCGGAGTTACCGGATGTTGCACACGATGTAAGAAACTGTAGCTGGTAAACTGTACGGGCCATAATTTTAAATAGGCGCACGTATTATACGAATATAATATTATAAAAAATATATTTTACAATTATTTAACATGGATTCCACAACTTAAAAGTTTTTTTTTTCTTATGACATATTTTAGCCATATTTTTTTAATTAGAATAATTTACATATAAATAATACGTTTAAATCCGACCTACAATGCCGCAACAATAATAATGAAATAAGCAGGTACTTGTTAGTTTTTGGTAATCATTATTGTCGTAGAAAAAAACTGTTGCTGTTTTCCGATATAACAGTCGTATTGTACATCCGTACACACATAACATATGTGACGAATAAACTGTATGGTTAACTTGATAAAACTGCAAGAGGGGGACTTTTTAAAATTTCGAAGATTTTATTCAGTTAAAAAATAACCATAAAACGCGTGTATAGTAATATTTTACTTAAATCGATATTATGTTTATTAGCGAAATAGCACATTTACGGAATAAAGTAACGTCTTATTATATTGTTCTATTATGTATATTGTATATATTATGAGTAAATTTGTTGATTGTGTTATGATACATAATTGTATACAATATAATATAAGCAAATACAAAAAATATATTTGTGTTGTTTTTGAAGGACACCAACGAATTCTTAACCAAAGAAAATAACGATTTTCTCGCCAAAATTGGGATAAAACGGTGTACACGGAAATTGGGACGGTTCCTATTAATGCGGGATATCTGACGAGCATATAAAGTGGTTAAAACGAAGGGATTTTATGATATACAGGGAAACCTCCCTTAACGGGCACCTTAAAATAGCGGACGCCTCCAAATGGCGGACGATCTTTTCGGGAACGAGGATATTTTCACTATTTATGTGTAGGAAAACCTCTAAATACAGGACACTCTAAATAACGGACACTTTTTGACATTGATATTGATGATTTTTATCGTAAATTAAGAATGATTGGAGAATACCTAAGTAATAGTTTACACTATTAAGTTAATTTTTATTAGGTACTATGTTATGTACATTATTATACTATACATGTATATCTTATATTATCCGTCCAGTCGTTGCAATATTATCCCGTCGATGAAATGGTATACTTATGATGTATTTAATGAATATAAAAATAAAATAAAATAAAATGTATTTAATTAATTTAATTTAATAAAAATACAATTTCTCCCTTTAAATAGCGGACACCTCTGAATAGCGGACAAAATTTCAAATTTTATTTAGAGGTTTCACTGTATGTGTTACGGTTAATGTTGTTATATTCATATATTAAACAATTTTGTGCCGTTAATTTTAATATTAGAGTATATTGGCTTATTATCAAACTTAAAGGTGAGAACATTGTTTGTGTTTATACGTTGATTTTTTTTCGATATTTTAATTTTTAAGCGATATAGGTTGATTTTAAAATTTTAATATTTTACATATACGTAACTCACTTGAAAATCAAAATTTCGAAAAGAAACTAACGTATCAACATAGACAATGTTCTTATCTTTAGGTTTAATAATAGACAAATACACCCTAATGTTAAAACTAACAGTGCAAAATCGGTTTTCATACACAAAAAAGGCGTCCTAGGATAATGGGGACGGGTACAGCCACTGTTATAGATAATTTAATGCATAAGCAACGATAGACCATTGTTTACGAAAAAACGATTCTGAACGGAGTTCAGTTGATATTGATGCTTTGACAACAATATATAGGTCATATTATAGTAATATAATTAAATAGGCTATATATATTTTCTTTAATAATATTTTTTTTTCATGTTGTACCGATTTTCTTTCATAAAAGGCGCTACGCATAGAAATCCGAGCGAGTCTTCTGGCGAAAGGGTTGCTCGCGGATGAAAAAAAAAAAAATCAAAATAATCTTTGCAAAACCATATTATGCTTCTTCGCTCCACTCAGCATCTATAAGTATAAATACACCAACATTCACCGATTTTACAACATTAACCGTAACGTATACAGGTGAATTGGTCCGCGGTGTTGGCGAAACATTATGTTGAGTGCCTAACTGCGGGTAACTGCCGCGACCGCACGATGGCCGATAAACATATGGTACCGGTTTATCCCGGAGAGATCGCACAAGGACCGGGGGAAATGGACGATTGTCGATCGGAAAGCGCGATTGGATTCGGTTTATTTAAATATAAGGATTTAAAGGGGACAAGAGAGGCGAGGCTGGTTCAATTTCGCGATGCGTTAAGTGAAACGAAAAAATTGTTCGACCGTTACAATTTACACTCGGCCGTGTAGAGTACGGCTTTGTTCCGCCACGCTCTGAACGTTTCATTTTATTCTCCCGACGAATAATAAAAGAATTTAATAAAACTCGCATGCGACAGGAAATCAAACATTTTTTTTTTTTTTTTTAGAGGAGGGGTTTGCTAGAATTCCCCCGCGACTACGCCCCTGAGAAAACCCGACGACTGACACTTGACGCGTAAATTGTTCGTTGTTAAAAATGAAATAAAAGAACGTTTCGAATAGATGTCATGCAGGATGATGTGCCGGCCGCGACAGGGGCACGCCCCTAATATACAACACCTATATTATTATTATTATTATTATTATCATCGCGTTGTACACGCGCGCAACATTATTGGCGTGCGCGCAGTTTTGTTTGCGCGCGCGTGTGCGTTTGGCCGCGTACTGCGCTGCGTGCGTCGGGGCGGTGGCGGCGGATCGTCGGGGGCGGCGGCGGTCGCTGGGTACCGTACAACAGCGGGACGCGCGCGCGGTCGTATTATAGGTGCGTGCCGGACGGGACGGCGGGCGCAGATCGGTGCGTCACGGCAGCGGCGGGCCGTCGTCGCGCGTCGTACGGAAATATCGCTGTAAACCGGACGGGGTGCAGCTACGTAACGATGACGTGGCCCGCGGCCGTTCGGCGGAAAAAGGGTAGCGGCGAGGATGGGCCGCGGCGACGGGCGGGTGGGCGGCTATCGATCCGCGGCTCTCGCGGAAAAGCGGAACCCCCCCGGCGCTCGCGCTCGCGCTCGCGACCGCACACACACACACGCGCGCGCGCACACACATGCACACGCACACACACACACGCACACACCGCCGTCGCCGAGAGCGGCGGCGCGACCAAATCCCGAAATAATATACGCGCGACCGGCGTCCAGTGCGGTACCGCAATATATCGTCGGGTTGTTTTTCTTTTTTTTTTTTCTCGCCGTCCGTAATAATATATTATTATACTATTATTATTGCACGCTCTGCCGGAGCAGTTGCGAACGCACGACGGTCGTTCCACACCGCCGTCGTCGTCGGTGCATCCACGTCATGGCGGTGACACTGCGCGTCCGTTACCGGTACATCCGTTACGGCGGCTATTCGCCGATCTGTTCGCTGTTCCGGACGCGTCGCTGTCGCTACTTCGCCGCCATTGTCGCCGCCGACCCTCGACTGGGCATCGTTTCCGGTGAGTTACACATTTTAATACGCGCGTACCAACAATTATAATAATTTATTGCAGGTAACTGCCGCGGGCGATTTTTCCGCGCGGTCGACAACCGCGGTTCGTTCGTCGGGCTATACATTCGTGACGTTAATAATGAAAAAAACGCCGAATTTTCGTAATATTGAAAAAAAAAAAAAAAAAAAAAAAAAAAAA